CTGTGCTTCGACCAGGCCCTTCATAGGCACCGCCCTCTCCTGCCAGATGCGCCACCGGGAAGAATATCGTCTCTCAAGGTAGAGCACTTATGACTCCTCACACAAAACAGAGGACACTCAAGGTTGGACCCACTTCCTCATGGTAAGAAGAGATTGAGAGGGTAGATAAGGTAAGGGAACAACGTACCTGGATATAGCTGCCCCCAACCACAGATTTCTTCAAACCAATTATTATTTGAAAGAAATGTATAGTTTTAATAGAAAAAATATTCAGTTGCGTGTAAACAGGCAAAATATTACTCCAATTAGAGTAAATAACTAAAGGTAAGATTAGTACTATTTCATTGCACCAATTGAGCCGACGTGCATTTCGATGACCGGTCATAGCCTCGGTACCACCCACAACGCAATGGAGTGCCACCTCAGCCAAAATGCCACATCAGCATGCTCTCATCATCATACATACATCTGTTGTCGCCACAGCTCCCACGATGTCGCAACAGCCTTCCAGCATCCGGCCCCTCTACCTATGCCCCGCTCTATCAAGCCAGCGCCAAAGTATCCTTACTGCACAGAAGCATCGTCAGCGCACCAAGTAACAATGTCGCCAGCACCAGGTAAGTGGCGATCTCGAACCAGCTCCGATACCAAATTGCAAGGAATATGAGTGGGAACGATATACAGAAAACCAAGTTGCGAAATCGCACAGATGTCCAAGTAGTCGTGTACAAGCAGAGAGCACAAATTCACCGAGATTCCACCCAAATAGGAGCAATGCAATGAAGTAATGAGCCAATGTTCAAGCCCTCAGGCCACACCAACACAGTATCCAAAGTCGCTCCTCTCTGAATGGCGCCCAGCGCCCACCCCTACTCTACTCGACTATCCTACCTACATCAGCATTCTCACAACAGGCTCACTTCGACTCTCGAAGACCGATGTACATGACGTCAACAGCATAGCCGACCTCTCTCATGTACCAGGTACGTATCTTGTCTCCCCTCATCAGACCCTGTCAACCCACACTCGCCTCCTTCCCGAAGACCACTGATCGCCCTCTCACTCCCTAGCGCCCAGCAGCCCGGCTATGGCTGCTCGTGCTCCACTGCCCAGCAGCGCCCCTCTTCACCTCACACGCGCCCGCACGCGCTCTGGCCTCAGCCCAGCACGCAGCCTCTAACGCACCAGCGCAGCAGCGTGACCGCATTGCCTGCGTGGGCCAGGATGCAGACCCTGACTGCCCTCCTTCCTATATGGAAGTGGCAGCCTTTGCTTGGCTGCTTGTGGCCTGGCTGGAAGCTTCCAGTAGCTTCCGGTTGGGCCCCTGTACCTGTGCCCAGGCCCAGTGCTACAGTTGAGGGCCTGGGCCCCTTTACAATAGGACACGGCCTGAGTCTCCAGACTTGGGCCGTTTCCTGCATTTGCACAGGACCCGGGGTATGTATGTTGACAGTGCTGCTTTTGCGTACGCATGTAGCCACTTCGTGATGTATCGGCCCTGCATTGTGTGTATGTGCCCAGGCGCAACTTTCAAGGCCTGGGCCAAACTGTACGACGCAGCTTAGGGAGGCTCACGCGTCCACTCGACCAACTGGCGGGCTGTAACAGCCTGAGTACCCACATATGAAAAATGTCGAATTTTGGGCTCTAGTGAATATTCAGGCCCGCCTTCACTTAGGGTGGGTACTTGGCTTGCTGGGGGGAGCTCTGCCCAGAACATGTGCATGTCTGATAAGGGCCCCGCGAGGGCTCATTCCTCGCAATCCTCGCTTTCACCCTGCATATCCACTATCCCCACTCTGTGTGTGTGTGTGTGTGTGTGTGTGTGTGTGTGTGTGTGTGTGTGTGTGTGTGTGTGTGTGTGAGAGAGAGAGAGAGAGAGAGAGAGAG